TCAATGGATGAGCCTGCACATCTTTGAGATGTCAATAGCGAACTTGCCGAATTAAAGTACTGTTTATGAGTGATGCAGTCGAGTTTAATGCCGTCGTTGCCGATGCCGTTCTTTCTCATGTTAGTGACGTCCTGTATGAGGGCGTTCAAATCTTTGACGTCGTCCGGAGTTAGCCATCAAGTTGGTGCGTGGTATAAAGTCAACGGGATAACTTTATACAAAAATTCAATGAAATTCACGTTAAAGACCGATAAGTTTGCCTCAACGAGATGCCTGTCGGTTCGTTTGGCTGAGTTTCCAACTTCTTCTAAACTTGTGCAGTTGCAACCTCATACGCGATCAGTTGGTCCTGTGTGTGCCTTACCTGATGTGCAACCAAATTAAGGTTCTTGTACGGCTTTGTAAACTTGTGTGCAAATATATTTCGTAATCATTGAGAAAATTTTATTTAATTGCGCATGAGTATTTGACTTTTTATTGGTTAACACGCTGACTACGACTGCTTCATCTTGTACTATATTTCAGATTTTGTACTGTTTTTAAACAGAGTTGCCAGACGGTCATTTTTTCCGGACAAATTCCGTGATTTAGTTTTTCTCAATTGCATTGGCTGGCTAAAATCTATGATAGGAGTACTTCATAATTAAATTTTAAATACTGCTAAAAGAAAATAAATGGAATTTTTATAGCGGAACCTACAAATAAACTAGTATATATTGAGATATCAGCCTTTTTTGGCCTTTTATGTTCTCGGATTTGGCCGATTTTAGGCAACCTGAATTATGTACCACTACGTCCTGGAGAAATACATTTTGTGGTACGCATATAGGTACCACTTCGGAGTCAACGTGGTAAATTATCGGTGAAGAAGTCTGTTATCACATGAGTTCTTGCAGCACCCATCAATTTCGCAATATTTCTGTAAAAAAATCTTTCGAATTTATCGATATGTAATCTACTTATCCAGCATTGAGTAGAATGTTCCTGACTGTCCTGGATTTTATTAAAATCTGAGCTGCCTGAATATTTTTAGTAGATTTTATATTTGAACAATATCTATCTGAAAATGATCTCAAACAATAGTCAGTTATGGAAAGATCGCGTTCCATAGGCCGGATCCCTTGTGGAATCAAGTCACGAAAAGTACAAGAAGCGGCAACAGGCCATGGGCCTATTTCTTCAATGCCGACACTTCTATCCTATTCCAACACTGTGATGTAGGGGAAGAAAGGAAGTCTGTAGTCGCCATTCTTGCTCGTTATTATTTCTACTAGGATTCCAAGAAAGTTTCTGATACTCATTGCATCAATTGCTCCCAAATATATGAACAATTTTATTTCAATGCTTTATTCTCGATTGTTACTGGCATACAATAGGCATTTTCTGTTGGAAAAAATCCTGTTCGCCGAGGCTTAGAAACTGGTCGCTTTTGGGCCTCCTGGTGATTCATTGCTAGTATAACTTTCGTAAAATATTTAATGCACTTGTGTATGTGATATTTATGAATTGTAAGTGATTGTGCAAGCAGTTTTTTGAGGTCAATCTCTTTTTGAAAAAATAAGCGCTAATGCCTCGTCTTATTTAATATTATAATTTTTTATTTCAAACACAACTAGTGAGTTTTACCGGCCATTTAATCAGTGCGTACTATCCTCTGCATGGCTTCTTTCTTTGTCTGCTCTGCGTCATGATTTTTATTCGGTGTTTTTAATTTATTTCCAGTGAAGTTAATGAAAGTTCCTCAGTCAATTCCCTGCTCGGTTAAAGTCATGAGGTTTGGTCTGGCTGGCGCTGCTGTAAGAGCCTTCGGACATATCGTCGCGCGCACAGATTACCCGTTCATATCAACATATTTTTACAATAAACACAAATTTTACTCACTCCTAACATTTGCTTGGACAGTATTTTACTTTCAGTGAGCATGCCCAACAAAAAAGCATTGCTACATTTAACAAGAGATCGGAAATCTATCAAGACATTTCATCAGAATATATTTATTATATAAAATATTTACCATTAAATCGAGACATTCTGTGTCATGCACCTTCGTTTTGATCAAATTGTTCAAATTTAATCTCCTTATAAGTTGGATCATCAACGTATCTTATTCAATTAGGTTTGAGAAAATAAAAAAATTATTTTGTGACCTTTTATATATAAAAGTTCACAATATAAATTCTTTATTAAATATTAAAACTCTGACGATTCGGTACCTTAATTAATTCGTGAATAATATTTTAAATTTGAGATAACGCGAAATTAAATTAAAATATTTAGTCCATGCATTAGTCCATACAATAGAAACTGACCCTTCTTCGCAGTTAAAGCAGAAGCTCCAGATCCTGGAAAGTCTCTGCGTTTGCTTATGGGACGCTGGCCATTGACTATGTTTTTGCATGTGTCGTGCCGAAATCGCAAAATTGCAGATTCTATGGAATCGGCAGCCAGTTTGCCGATTTTGTAGCATCAGCATTTCTATACTATAGATTAGGTCAGACAGCCAAGTTTTTTTAATACTTGACCGAACTTGACCTAACCTTTTCTAACTCTAACTGTCTATGTATGCTCTAACTCTAACACTATATAACGTCTGATTTTAGGAAACAGCAACGAAATGCTGATTCTACAGAATCGGCAAACTGGCTGCCGATTCCATAGAATAAACAATTCTGCTATTTCGACACGACGCATGCATAAATAAAGATGCCTTAATTAATTGCCTGTTTAATGTAATTTGTAACACACATGCTAGAAATGAGAGTAATTGTTCAACATAATTTGCGTTCAATATTCATCGTGGTGGATCTATAATTGGATTCTTGGGAGCAAAGTTGACGGATAGCTCTGCCGAATCATTGATTGCAGCAACAACCACATGCCAATGATAATCTCGCAAATAATTTGACACTCGACAGCGCGTAATCTTACTTTCCAATTGAGATTTGATCAAATTCTGATATATGTGCCTTTTTGATAAAGACTTGAAACAAGCAATCATATTTGATAACGGTTGTGAAAAACACTTGTTTCAAACAATTGACATTGAGCATGCACCCGACGAAGTGATATGTAGAGAAATGCCTCGTTACTGTGGGATTAAATTCACAATCATAATCGAGTATTCATGTTTAAGGGGAGCGTCTGGACAAAAAGCTTTTTTTTTTATTTACGGACGGATTATTTGAAACTTGGTACACACATGTAAAACAGAAATCTGAGATCTCTTTGTTCGCGTATATGTTTCGAAAAATATGAACGAAATCGAAAAATTCAAAGAAAACGGCAAAAAAGGGCAATGTAAAACAGGGGGGCATTCCTCATTCAATTAGCCTGCTACAACATCGAGAAACATCATTTGATTCGTAAAGACCATTTCTAGCGATTGACAGGGCACCTTTTTCCTAATTCTAATTGTTTTTTTGGGGGAAGGGGGGGAAGGGGATTATTAGATTTTTTCAATTTTCGCCGCCCCTCCCGTTTTTTTTTCAAAATATAATCTAAACTATAGCGGAATAAAAAAAGGTGAGCGTATGATCGTTAGATATTTTTTTAACGATCGAATGGTATATCTCTCAATGCTATAACTTGAAAATAATAAGAGGAGATTGATTTTTAAAATGACGTATTTTGAAAATTTTAATTGTTCAGGGGAGCGAAATATGTAAAATTTATCAAGAAAGTTGAAAATGCTACAAAAAATTGCTTGATACTGCAGCGTCAGCTTTCCCATTGCCGCAATTACTCGTATTGACTTATTCATGTCCAGTATAATGCGAATAATTATCTATAAATACCGTTTTCCGAACAAAAATTGTTAGAAATTGCTATAAAATTGTCATTTTATAAAATTTTATAACAGCCTTACGCAAAAAATATTGCATGTAATCCATTGTTGTTGCTTCATTGAACGCGTCTTCTAAGCAACCTTCAAACGAGTGCAAGCACTTTGCCATTAACGCGGATAATAATCTATAAATAAAGATTTAAATAAAGAAATATTAATAAACAATATTTAAATGATGTTAATTTTATGAAAGTTTAAAAAGGTCTCACAACAGAACCATGAAAGCTACCTCATCGCAATTCTTTGCAGCTGCTTTATAATAATTCTTCCTACAAAATGAGATGGAAACACAGCAAATGCAATTCATTCGTTTTTTTTAGCCAGACGCTCCCCTTAAAGCTATTTATTTATTGGACTGATATAGTGCGCATGAATTCCTATCATTTCTTGTTGAATTACTTTTGAAACAATAATTTTTGTACATTTGGTCGGTTATAAGCCGTAACATTGCGTTATACTGGACAAACTTCAATCAATTAGAACTTCCCTCATTAATACAAAAGCTTTTCGTGAAAATCACGAAATCAAAAATTACTCGTAAGAGATTGATTTATTTGGATAGAGATAGCATTCATATGAGTTTTAAAGGAATATTCAAGAAAAACGTGACAATATTGAACAAATTGTTTAAATTTCGTACTCAGTGAAATTCCGCGCAAGTTTGCAGACGTGGACTAAAATATTGACGCATTCATCTGTACCCAACAAGCGCACTCACGTGAGTAAGTGCCTTGAATACCGTGATAGACAGCACCATACCGAGCACAATCTGCTCATGGCATGGTACTTATACCATGAAAAGCAACCATTAACCATGTGTCCAACCACCATGCACCCGATGACGGCTACCATGCGTCACCTCCTCATTGCATATACGCACCAGTCGTGCGCACGAGGCGTATACAAATTACCAAGCTTTACGCGCTACTAAACATTCCATTGCGATGAAAAGAAATGTTTAATTGCGATGTATAACAGACTTCAAATGCTGAACTGCGTACATTTATATCAGTGACAAGTCAATTAATACATCAGTGACATTACTACAATATTTTGTGGCAACCTTGGGCTGAAAAATGTTTTCCATTGAATTTGTTTTAGGATTTTGCGGAGCATAAAAGAGGCACCGCGCGGCGTTCAACCACACACTCTCAGCAGCTTCTTGTTCAGGTAAGTGGCTTGGCTTCACTAATAAATAAAATGAGTTAAGATGAAAATATGAAATATTTAGTGTACATATGTGGGTAATATGAACATGTAAAATGTGTGTGTCGTGACTGTTCCCAATTGCTGGAAAGATAGGCACCAAAAATTGTTTTTCTCCATAGCCTGCACTTGCTGCTTTTTAGGTCCATGATTTTTTTAGAATTAAACTTCTTTAATTCACTAATGTTTAAAATGCCCAACAATTCTAATTGTGATTGATCTTCTGTCTTTGTTGAAATATTAGGCAGTATTCATTCTGTAAACTAAAAACTTTTTCCAGTAAAAAGTTCGCCGCAAGAAGTCAAGATGAAGACGTCGTTGCTGTGCCTCCTGCTGCTGGTAGCTGCGGCTGCCAGCGCTGCTGTCGGCGAGGCTGACGGCTCTCAGCCAGATGTCAGGAGTGACAAGGTTAGCATTATTATTTTGTGGTTAAATAAGTGAATTTAATATTATAGCTTAGTCTGTGGGATAAGTAGCCAAATTAAAATTTGTCGTTTTAAGCCGGAGCGAGGAAGCTTTCTGTAACTGCAAGATCTGCCTTCGTTTGAAAGAACGCATTCAAAGTTTCCTTAGGGATACCCCGCGTCTTGAAGTTTCAGAATATCAAACCAAAAATTAAATTCACTTATATATTTATGTTGAAAATAATAAAAAAATTTCTGATGTCGAAATAAAAATTGCGTATAATAATCAGTGTACTGGTTGCGTATATTCGTGCATTGCGTTTGCGTGCGTGCGCTTCGTACGCAAAATACTCTCCGGTCTCTGGGGTCTTGAAGAGGAAAGCTTTGAGGGAAAATGGTGCGCGGGTGGAACGTGAATAGGACGCTGTGTTTGTGATGGGATACTTGCGTATATTAGTGAGTTTGCAATTAATAATTTATAAATTTTCAGTTTGTAATAAACTTTTTCTGTTGCAGGATGATGGTCCCGTGACGGTGTTGCCTGATAAGCCCCAAGTGGGGCGAGATGACGGGGTGGAAGGTGAGTGTCAACTATCCCCGTTTGTTGAATATCTGCAGGCGCTGTGTATTATTTTGCATTCATCATGTTGAAAACTTATAAGAGCTATACATTGTTTTGCATTCCGTTTGTCAAAAAGCTTCAGGATATATCTATAGTTTCAGTTTAATTTCAAGTATTATATATTAATATATAATACTTGATATATTGTTTCCTGCTAGCGACTTGTTATGGAAGCACGCAGGGAGTTCCGGAATTTCACGATTTTTAATCGATTTATTTTGAATTTGTGGCTTATTGTGAATTGATTAATTTTTTTTGACTGAAACTATGTTCTCATGTAATTAATTTTCATAGTAATCCAATTTTTCGTCTTGCAGAAGCCAGGGAACTTCGCGCCTCGTGCCGGGTGATTTACCCCCCCGTAAGTTGAATGGATTAACAAATGCAATGATACAATAGCCACCACAATGATACAACAGCCACCACAATGATACAATAGCCACCACAATGATACCATTGCCACTGTAATGATGCAATAGGCACCACAATGATACAATAGCCACCACAATGATACAATAGCCACCACAATGATACAATAGCCACCACGATAACGACTCAAATAAGTTCTCCTGCAGGGCCATCCCCATGTAGGTAGATGACGATTCTATTAAATTGGTTAAGTGTTCGTTTGATTCATTCAGCGGCTCAAGTGCGCAGCAGTTTCGTAAAATGCCCTGCTGACCAATAACTAACTAATAATTATCACTTGTTCAATCATGAAGTAGCCTAACCTGAGGTAATTTGAACATTTTGTCTTAAGGGCTTATAGTAGTTTATGCATTTGTAGCTAATGAAGATAAAGTAGGTGGTGCATTTCTCTCCTGCAGTACTTCTACTACCTGTGGGGATCGGTCTGGACTTTCGTCCCCGCTGGGAACGTCTGCTTCAAGATTCCGAGCACCGTGTACTGGTGCTGCTTATCAGGCGGCCCATGGCCCTAGGCACTCACTGGACACTCACTGAGCACCCCCTGGACACTCACTGAGCACCTCCTGGACACCCACTGGACACTCACTGAGCAACCCTGGGACACTCACTGAGCACCCCTTATACATCCACTGGGCACTCACTGAGCACCTCCTGGACAACCGCTGGGGGCCCTCTAGATACCCACTTCAACCTCTTTGATTTCGTCCGGCGTCATGAAATTCAACTTTAGAATTGGATGATTATGTGAAATTGATTTATTTGAGACTCAATAAAGATACAACGCATTCAAGAAGTGCAGTCATTTTCCTAGATGAAGCATAAAAAATTGCGGCAAGTGCAGTCATTCTCCTATTTAAGAGCAAAGGATTGTTAAAATATTATTCAACCTACTCCGGTGCATGAATCAGTTATTCATGCCAGCTTATCACGGCCATCGACGTCTTGACGAACGAAGTCAAGGTCCGAGTTACGAGTACGACAACATCGGTGACCTATATGAGGGTTCACCACCTGACTTCGTACGGTTACTACCTTTTACCGAGCATTAGATATGAATAGCGTTGACAATGAATAATGGAAGGTTAAATTATCATGAGAGAGTTAGAATAATCAATTAATGTTGAATTTTTTTTATTGCAATTGGCATTAATTTGAGGGCATTGGGTGGCCCAGTGCCACCCAATTTTGCAATTAGTGAACTGCAGGCTGAAGCCCATGCCCGCCCCATGGCTCTATGTAAATAGTATAATGTTCCATGTCAGGAACAATGGTACACAACGACTCATGAACATCCAGCTCCTTATGATGGCAAACAAATACTGGTGGACATGAGGAAGTAATATAATAGTAGCAACCTTTGGCAAACCCGATGGCCCCAATACTAGAGTGAATTAATAAAAGTGGTTGGAGGTATGAGTAACCAAATATTTAAGATCTTGAAGATAAGAATATATATATATATATATATATAGTAACGATAATTGCACTTTGCCGGACTATGCTTATTTTTGGCCCAGTGACGTAAGTAAAATTGTGAAAAAAGTAAGAAGAACCTAACATGGCTGGACTTAATCTTAGTAGAAAGGTGTCAAGCAACGTAAAGAAGGGTTTTATGCACACCTAACCCTAACTTTAACCCTAACCTAACGAGGTTGGCGTTTTTTAGAATGTCCGGTAGTGTAGTTCATTTATTTTCGTGTCCGGTTTTTAAGTACAAACTAATTGTAAGGTACATAACCGGACTCGATTTTGTCCGGTTTTCTAACCCATGTCCGGTAATGTTACCAATTTTGTCCGGTAATTGTACGGAATTCTTATAAATATGTNTTACCACTAAAATTTACAGGACTTACCATCAAGGCCCCAGGTTTCTTAAATTAATTTCAAATTACCTGAATATGGTAGAAGTTGCCTCACAACTGCAAGATTATTTGCAATAACTGCATGGTGTAGAGCATTGTAGCCATGCTTGTCTGTTGTCAAGAGGCTCTTTGTAATTTCATCACAACTTAATAGTGAGGCCATTGTTTTCTGGAACAAAGATTATGGAAGGTAATATTTAGTAGAATGTATTAGCAAGTTTGATAATTGAGATTTGATTGTCAAATACACAACAAGCTCAAAAACAGATGAACACCTTCTTGCATGGGTGTATATATATATATATATATACCTACCTATATATATATATATATATTTGTATAATTTGGGTTATTGTGCGACACGTTTGTTAAGAGTTTTCGAAAACCATGTCGCGGTATTTTTGTGCTAATCTTTAAGCATACTTTAGACAATAGCGCGACATTTTTGGATTATTGTGCGACAAAATGTCGCGCAATAACTGTCTCGGTATGTACCAATGTCGCGGAATCTAGATATGAATAATTTTTGTTAATAGTGCGACACAAAAAAAGATGAACGCTATTATGCGACATGCTAATTAACAAAAATCTTGTTAGGTTAGGTTAACAAAAAAACCCTAGCCTAACGAGATTTTTCATTTGTGGCTTACGTAAGATTCACTACATAATATTAGTCCTACGTATTTGTATCATACGAACCATGCATCACATAATTACGATAAAAATTTTAAATAGAACCTACATATGAAAAGTGGATTTTAATTTACTTATTATAATTATTACTAATAGCTAGTGTAACCAACATTATGTTTTCGAGTGCGCCGATTTCAGGGTAAGTTTATTGGTGGTCATTACAATACTATTTATTGTAATAACATTCGATACATAATAAAAGTATGATGATATATTGAGTCATAGGTAAGCCAACATTATTGTAAAGTGTCTATGACGTAAACAATTGAAGTTTTTTAATCCATATCTTATATCCCAAATTATCAACGCATAAAATTCCAAGTCCCCTTGACTTATATCTAAATATCACCAATGATATATAAGAAAGGCATGTTTTTGTCCAGAATTGTAGTAATTTCAGTTTATACAACATCAGTGCTGCCAGCGCTAGGTTTATAAACTCAGATCTAGGTTTTTGAGCTTCCAGCTGGGTTTCTATGTTTTTAAATTACAAAGTGATCTAAATCTGAGTTTTTTGAGAATGATGCACTGAAAACAAAAATCAATTATTATTGCCAAAAAAAGCGGAAATACTACTTGTTATAATTTTTAATAGATGTTCGTACAAGTTCATACAGTGCGTGTGCGTGTGGGTTAAAAATTAAGAGGCAGTTCAGTTCACCACCCAGTCGAGAGAGCATGTAATTTCAGTTGTATTGGAGCAGTATAGGATGCTTTGATTCTTTACTTTGAATCGCAGGCAAGAACTGATCAATTTTATGGAACTATGTTTTGTTCAATATGTTCTGAAGAAAGTCGATGCACTCAACTTGGAATGACAATCTGAAATTTTTAGGTTGCATGTCCTTCACTCGATGGTATATGCTGAATATAAAAATATATTCGGCTATTTCATTAATGAAGAATGCTTAACAAAATCAAAACTATATGATGTAGATCCAAGCTATTGCAAACCATTCAAACCTCTTGGAGATATATTGCTTAGTGGTAGAACAATTATGGCAGTGTTGGAGCAAGAGCCCATAGCGCGCTGGCTAATGATGACATTCGCGAAAAATTCAGAAAAGACTGTTTGAACTTCTTGGTAGCATTGTGTGTACAAATCATACACAGATTTTCATTTGATGATAGAAGCATTATTGCACAACTTAACATTTTAAACCCACAAACTTTTTCAGCCAATTATTCACCTTTTTCCATCGCAACATTAGCGGCCCAGTTCAAAAACCAGGAGCCTGAAGATAAATTAAATGATCTTGACGATGAATACCGAAGCTTCAAAGTAACCAAGGACTTACACCTCTCAGAGAACAGCAGAACTGTCAGCATTCCTGAATTTTGGCATAGCCTTTGACCCGTAAAAGATAGTCTTGGCCAACCCAAATTTGAAATTTTTTCAAAATTTATTACAAATTTGTCAGTTCTTCCGCATTCATCAGCCTGCGTCGAGAGAATTTTCTCTCAAGACTTCGTGGAGACTTCAAAAAACAAACTCTTTGAAAGCCACAATTACCCGAGACCGAATCCTTGCTAAACAAAGGTGGACGTAACGTGGTTCATTACAGGAGCTATTTACAGGAGAAAACAGCCATTTACAGGAGATATGAAAGTAGATTAGTGGATGTAAGACATGCTGATAAAGCTGTTGTTTACGAGGGAGATGAAGATGAATGATAATGGTAATATGTTAAATAACTCTTAAAAAAATTGGAAATATGTTAAATTGTAATTTGTGTTTATCCCTATATATCCATACTCATTCCTATGTGAACAACAGGGATTTATTACTAGGAATTACATGTTGGGATGAATCTAGGTTTTTTCATTCAATTCTAGGTTTTTTCGGAGGTATGATCTAGGTTTTTCAAAAAATAGTCGCTGGCAGCACTGTACAACATGCTTTCTAAAAATGCGAACTGCATCAAGGGAGAGAGTCTCCAAAAAGAGGAGTCTGGAATGCGTAAGTCACAGCTATGAGGTTTAAATTACTAGCAACGCAATGTTAAACTGCTATAACATAATAAGATAGCTAAATTAATTTCCATTATTTTTTAAACAATTCCATGGTACATTTTGGACATCTGCATGTAGGAAAATTGGCACCTCAAGAAGCACAAATTTAAGTAGCGAAATATCATTGATTTCATTATGATGTGTTATCGCAAGCTCGCTTGAGAAACGCCTGCTCAGCGTCATCATATTCACTAACGCACCATCATATCGAACGTTGCTGCAGGACTCGTCAATCTCATGTCATGAAGAGCATTTTATTATAACATAGATTAATTTCGATTGAAAAATGATTTCTTACCAATATTTTTTAAATGACAGCATTTACCATTTTTTGTAGTAATAGAGCACAGTTTTCTTGGAAATGAATCAATCATGCTATATTATTTGATTTAATTAAATGTATCTACAATTTCGACGAGGCAGCATGTGTTCAGTTTTGCACTAAGAAAGTATTCATGAAATGAAAACGTGCTATGCATGAAAATAAGAACATTAAGACGAGCCGTTAATTAACTAGTTTATGGTTGTTATGTATGTACTTGGATATCATTATGAAAAATAAACATTTAGGTGAAAAAATCGTGGTTTATGGGGGAAAACCGAGGAAATGATAATTTCCAAAGTAATAAATCAACTAGATCACAAGAACATGATGAATACAGCTTGGAAGTGTTTTTTGGATGTGTGAGGTTCTCTGAACAGGATATGATGGAACAATGTCAGTTTATATAATGCGGAAGTAAGGGTAATGCGTTACTGATTGTCAAGACTATTAATAAGAATAATTATTAATACCTATGAAATATATATCTAATAGATGTAAGTATAATAATCCAAACAAATAACTATTACGTATATAGACTTTACACATTAATGAGATGCTTTATATATGTTTTACGTACATATGTTTATATTTAACCTATAACAAAGAGGTCTACTAATAATAAGTCACGTATTATATCGCCGTTATTTAATTTAATGGCATCTTACACTGTCCATG